CTGGAGTCTGGGCTGAGACCAACCCGTTTGGTCTAGCAGGACACCAGCCCCCAGTGGTGGTCCAGCTCTCGTCCACAGCAACCCCTGCGCGTGTCCAACAATACCCGTTGACTCGAGCTGCCCTTTTGGGCATCAAGCCTCACATCGATCGACTCTTGGCGGCAGGCATTCTACGACCCTGCCAGAGCTCATGGAACACCCCCCTACTTCCAGTTCGCAAGCCCGGGTCTGGAGACTTCCGTCCTGTCCAGGATCTACGAGAAGTCAACGCCCGGGTGGAAACTGTACATCCTACTGTGCCAAACCCATACACGTTGCTGTCTTCCCTGGACCCTGCTCGGACTTGGTATACTGTTTTGGACCTGAAGGATGCTTTCTTTTCCATTCCCTTGGCACCAGTAAGCCAACCTATATTCGCTTTTACTTGGACAGATCCTAACACTGGGACATCCTCTCAGCTCACCTGGACCCGGCTTCCCCAAGGTTTTAAGAACTCCCCTACACTTTTTGGCTCAGCTCTGGCCTCCGACCTGGCCGCCTTCCGGGTCTCGTATCCGGAGGTCACTCTCCTCCAGTATGTTGATGACCTTTTGTTAGCTACTTCCTCTGAGGCAATATGCAAAGATACAACTCTCCACCTTCTCCAGCTGCTTGAAGCTTCCGGATATCGTATCTCTGGAAAGAAAGCACAACTGTGCTCTCAATCCGTTGTTTACTTGGGTTTCACCCTTCGTTCTGGTCAAAGGTTACTGTCTCGGGGGCGTGTAGCTGCCATTTTGGGCATGCCCGCCCCGAGGGACCGCCGCGGGCTCCGGGAATTCCTGGGGATGGCTGGATACTGTCGCCTCTGGATCTTGGGGTTTGCCGAGGTTGCCAAACCCCTATATGAGGCCCTAACTGGTGAACCCACCCAATTTGTTTGGGGACCACGGCAGCAGGAAGCATTCGACAAGCTCCGAAAGGCGCTGTCCAGCACGCCTGCCCTCTCCCTGCCAGACCTGTCCAAGCCCTTCCGCCTCTATGTGTCTGAGTCTCGAGCTGTGGCCAAAGGGGTTCTGACCCAGCCCCTGGGGCCCTGGAATCGTCCTGTTGCCTATCTCTCCAAGCAGCTGGACCCTGTGGCTTCCGGGTGGACCTCTTGCCTGCGAACTGTGGCGGCCGTTGCCGTCTTGGTTAGGGAAGCCGCAAAGCTCACTTTCGGGCAGCCTCTTGAGATTTCAGCATCACATCATCTGGAACAGCTTTTACATTCCCCGTCGACAAGATGGATCTCAAATTCACGCCTGACTCATTACCAATCCTTACTCCTAGATTCCGCGCGCATCTCTTTCGCTCCTCCGGTCACACTCAACCCGGCCACCCTGCTCCCTGACTCCCCTCCTTCCTCCCCTATACATGACTGCCTGGACACACTGGACTCCATCCACACGTCCCGCCCTGGACTTACTGATGTTCCTTTAACAAACCCCGACCTAGTGCTCTTCACAGACGGCAGCAGTTTTGTTCAGGAGGGGATCCATAGGGCGGGTGCAGCCGTGGTCACTCCGGTTGAGACCCTCTGGGATACCGCTCTACCCCCTGGCACATCTGCTCAACGTGCTGAACTCATTGCCTTAACTCAAGCCCTTAGACTCTCTGCAGGGAGGCGAGTAAATATTTACACAGATAGCCGCTATGCCTTTGCCACTGTTCATATCCATGGATATGTATATCTCCAAAGGGGTCTGTTAACCTCGGCGGGAAGGGAGATTAGGAACAAGAGTCAGATCCAGGACCTGCTGGATGCTGTCTGGCTTCCCAAGGAGGTGGCGGTAATTCATGTTCCTGCTCACACCCGTGGAACTGACCCCCAGTCTCTAGGGAACGCAGCAGCGGATAAGGCTGCCCGAGCGGCTGCCTGCAAACCCTTGATACCCGCTATGGTCGTGGAACCTGAGGGGATGCTTCCTGTCCAACCATCTTATCAATCCAGTGATCCGGATGGCACCCCTGAAAAGGGGGGATGGAGAAGACACCCAAATGGCTTGCTAATTCTGCCCAAGGCACTGTTGCTACCCCTATTGATGACTCTTCATAGCCTTACCCACTTAGGCGGAACCCGGCTTTACGACCTGGTGAGCCGACACTTCTACAGCCCTGGGATGAAGCAGGCGGCCGAGGAAGCCGCAAGAAGGTGCCTTGCATGTGCCAAAGTCAACCCACGATCACAATCAAGGATACCAACTGATAGACCACGAGGAACATTTCCTGGCGACCATTGGGAAGTAGACTTTACTGACATGGGAACTGGGTTGGGAGGGTACCGTTTTCTCCTTGTATTCGTGGACACATTTTCTGGATGGCCAGAAGCATTTCCAGTCAAAACTGAAACTGCAACCGTAGTGGCCAAAAAGCTGTTCTTTGAACTTATTCCTAGATTTGGCCTGCCGGCCTCGATAGGCTCTGACAACGGCCCAGCATTTGTATCTGCAACAATTCAAAGCCTATCAAAGATGCTGGGATTGAAATGGAAATTGCACTGTGCATATAGGCCTCAAAGTTCAGGGCAGGTAGAAAGGATGAATAGAACTCTAAAGGAACACATTGCTAAACTTAAAATAGAAACTGGCGATAGCTGGGTCAGTCTCCTTCCCTTCGCCCTCCTCCGGGCCCGGTGTACTCCCAATTCCTCAACCCTCTCTTTATCTCCATACGAGATCCTCTATGGAGCCCCTCCTCCTATTATTCCAAGAGTATCTGCAGCTATTTCAGCCCCAGATTTTACTAATCCGACTCTTCTTAAGTCCTTCCAGGCTTTGCGTGAGGTCCAGAACGCTGTACGCTCGGTCCTGAAAGCTGCGGGGAAAGAACCAGCCCCTGCAACCTCATCAGACGCCCTGTCACCGGGAGACTGGGTCCTCACTCGCAAGCTTCCAGCTGGACCAGCCCTGGAACCACGGTGGACGGGCCCGTATCAAATTATCCTCTGCAACCCCTCTGCCGTCAAGGTTGCCGGCCGCAAGGCATGGATACATCGGTCACACATCAAGAAGGCCCCAGAGCCCAACTCCACCGCCTGGACAGCAGAAGCAGTGTCCGACCTAAAGCTTCGACTCTCCAGAACTTGACTCTTCTTCTCTTTCTTTTTGCTTGTGAGGTGACTTTGGGTGACCCCTATAGCCCTACCCCATCCAGGTGGATTCTCTCCCGAACTAACGATGGGACCACCGTCCAAGCTCTCACCAGTTACGGAGCCCCCACTTTCAGGTTTGACCTCTGTGCCCTCTTGGGACCAGGATGGAATCAAAACCGGGCTATGCGGGACCCTATCGCTGGGGAATGGGGATACTGCCCCACTTTTCCCACCACTCCAACCATACCCGGGGTAGGGGAAGTGAGAATCAGAAGTATTGAATTCTATGTTTGTCCGGCCACGGGGAATCCTTCCTGTCAGGGTAGTAATCACTTTCACTGCGCAGAATGGGGTTGTGAGACTGTGGCCAGGTGGATTCCTAGAGGTGGCCGAGACCCCCTAATCACCCTGGAGAGACAAAGCCCCCTCCCCGCCTCCTGCTGGCCTGGGAAATGTAACCCTATGATTCTAACAGTCAAGCAGGACACTGATGACTCTTGGAATCTCGGACATTCTTGGGGTTTGAGGTTATACATGACTGGATGGGATAACGGGGTCCTTTTTACCATTCAGAAAATCGCAGTTTCCACCCATACACTCCCCATAGGACCGAATCCCATCCTTAACCCACAAGCCATGTTGACTCTCACCCCACCATCTGTTAGGGACCTGGTACCAGAGGCTCCCGAAAATCCAGAGACCCTCACTAACCTAGGTTCCCCCATTTTTGATACACTCTCTGCTGTCCACTCATTCCTAAATTTGTCTGATCCAAACATAACCACCTCCTGTTGGCTGTGTCTGAATCCAGCTCCCCCCTATTTCATAGGAATTGCTATCGAACTCAACATCACCTCTGTGGGAAAGTTGTCTTTAAGTAAGTCCAAACAATCCTCTGCCATACCTGCCCGCTGTAACCCAGACAAGCCTAGACTTACCCTAGACGATGTCCAGGGCAAAGGAATGTGTTTGCTCGGGCCTGACTACCCGCTGCGGTCCTCCCCATTCAATGCTACGTGTACTTCAGTCATTCTTATTTCCCCCACATCCAAAAGCTCTGACCTCCTGTTAACCGCCCCACCTGGAGTATGGTTCGCTTGTACCAGAGGACTCACCACCTGCATACAGGACATTCGTTTCCTCAACCCGACCGAGCTCTGTGTAGTGGTGCGTGTCTTTCCTCAGGTATATGTCTACTCAGAGGAAGGGGCAGCTGAGCATATTGGCTTAACTCGCTCCAGGAGGGCTGTACCCTTTTTGGTTCCCATACTGGTGGGACTCAGAGTGACCGGCTCCGCTGCTGTTGGGGCCTCAGCCCTGATACAGGGGAAAGCCAACTACGGTGCCTTGAGTGCACAGGTAGATAGGGACCTACGCTCCTTGGAAGAGCTAGTCTCACACCTTGAGACTTCCCTAGACTCTCTGGCCGAAGTGGTTCTCCAGAACCGCCGAGGCTTGAACCTACTGTTCCTCAAACAGGGAGGCTTATGCATGGCGTTGGGAGAAACCTGCTGTTTCTACGCCAATCAGTCTGGAGTTATTCGGGAGTCCTTGCAAGCCTTTAGGCAGCGGTTAGATGAGAGGGACCGCGCACGGGCAACGGGGTCTTTTTGGTATCAGACCCTATATAATTGGTCCCCCTGGCTAACCACCCTACTCTCCGGAGTGGTGGGCCCTCTGGCCCTTCTCCTCCTTGGGTTACTCGTGGCCCCTTGTCTCATAAAATGCATCACCCGCTATGTCCAGAAACGAGTGCAAGCACTCCAGTTGTTTGTCCTGCGTCAATCCTATGCTCCTCTGGACTCTGATGAGTCCCCCGTCTGACTCTTTTCGTCCGTGAAAAGGGGGGAGTGAAGTGGACTGAGTTGTCACAAAAAAAAAAAAAAAAAAAACAACCCCCTAGCCTAACCTCCTCAGTTTCTACTTCAAAGGATCGCTAATCCCAATTGTAAACTGCTCTACCTCAAAGGATCGCTAATCCACAATTGTAAATTCCTCTACCTCAAAGGATCGCTAATCTACAATTGTAAATTCCTCTACCTCAAAGGATCGCTAATCTACAATTGTAAATTCCCCTACCTCAAAGGATTGCTAAATCCACAACTGTAAACTGCTGGGTATAAAGTTTTGTTATTTCCCTTGCTTGGGACTGCTCTCCTAGGATTGCATCCAGGGGACAGTCGCCGGCCGGCTCCAGTAAATGCTCTCTATTTTCTAATTTGGCGTGTGTCTGGTTACTCTCGGCCCGTCCATTTCACTCAGCAGCAACTCTTGAAATATAAGATATGAATCTTCCTGAAAAGA